TTATCCACATTAGACCCATCAGCATCCAGACAACGGGATCCACCCATCCATGTCTCATGGACATTTATACCCTCACCAAAACAAGGGGATAAAGGATGCCTCATTGTTCAGGTCCCTTACTGATACAGGTAATACAGGTATAGCTGCATACCAGCAAGGAAGGAAAGTTAGGGAACAGAATCACTATGGATAAAACATTGAAAGAATTCCAGTTATTCTCAGGTAATTAAGTTTCCTTTCTCCAAAGGCATCCTTGTTTAAGGAGTCAAAATGCCCCTTTGGTTCTCTTCAACTTACACAATAAGCTCAATATAAAATAATAATAATAATAGTGCTGAACATGCACCACAGCAGAATGTTATAAGCCTAATTTTTCCAGGAAAAACATTGGTACCTACAACCCCTCTTTATCTGATATAGATTAGGAAGTTAATTTAACTTTTTTTTTTTTTTTGGAAGGATAAAATTTTCTTTATAAAGTCACTTCAGGGCCTTTTCAGATCTTCTTCCATTTTATTTTGCATTCTGTAAAGACACACCATTTCTCTATCAAGGAATGTACAGTCTAAGCTGCCACACTATAGAGAGAAATGCAACATAGCTTAATATTGCATTTATTTCACCACAAATTGTAGGTGTAATCTATAAAATGCTCAAGCTCTTTGTGCCATAATGAACTTCGTGATTATATAGAGACAGTAAGAATAATTCATTGCTGATGGGATTAAAATTTAGTGCTAACAGCTAAAATTTGTCTAAAAATCCCTAGTCATACTAATTCTTTTGCTAAGTATATGGATTACATCATCTTCTGAAGCATCCAACAACTCCCAACGTCTCAAGTATGCACTTTCTTAAGATCTAGAAAGGCCCACATAGCTTGAAAAACATTTAAAATACAATTAGCTTTAGCAAACTAACTTAAGATAATAATATTTTTAAAAAAATTTTTGGCTACTGCCTCTCCATTTATTCACAATCTGACAATTACACAGATTCTTATCTCTGGCTAAGGTTCACATCTTGTCTATTTTTTCAAGAGGATTCTAGGACTCTTTCTGGTGGGAGATGAATTATGGGTGAAACATTTAAAATAAAAAGTTTTCAATATTTACTGAAATAAAGGAGTTGACACCTTCAGTTCTTGCTGTTTGAATGTTATTATTTCTATAACTGTGCACATTTTCTTCTTGGTATTTAAAGGTTTCCATATAGGACCTCTACTCTAGTCCTAGTGTTTAAAAAATAGGTTCAGAAAGGATCTCAGTAAGTTCTGCAGTTCAACTGGTCCACTAACAGTTTTACTAAAAGCTGTTTTTCAGACTTTTTTTTTTTTCACAGACTTTAATAGCCTAAGACAATCTATTTCAGTGAGTCAGAGCCTTCTGAATCCTCAGACAATCATTCATGTTTGAGCCTTGCCACCTAAAGGTGTTACTTCTTGTCCTAAACACTACAAACACTGAAAGCATTATTCTGATTACTCTTTGAAACAGTCTCATAAGGTAACCTTAGAATATCTCACTTGAGTCTCATTTTCTCTAGACTAGGAAAAAATCTTTTAAATTAATTTTATCTTTCTCTTTCTCTTCCAGCCACGTCATCATCCTTGCTGGTCTGTACTGTAATTCTGTAAATCTGTCTAAAGGACAGGTGCTTTTCCTGGGGTGTGGTATCTGAAATTAGAAACAGTATTTTGGTAATGACTTAGTTATGATGAATTGAATTAAATTATTACAAACCCATTCCCAAAGATAGAGGGCCTTACTAATCCACTTTTTTGACTGAAAGAAAGCTTAGTTAATATGAGTCAGATAAACTGGCAGTACTACAGATTAATAAATTCTACTAGGATGAATGTCATGAAAAAAGAAAGGGGCATGCTAAGCCCATTTGAATGACTATATATAGGAGCAAGTTTTCACATCTGGCTGGCACAGGGAACAAAATCTGCACTCTGCTCCTCATGTGCAATAATTAATGTCAACCCTATCCTCAGTATTTTTGGTATGATACCTGCATTTTAAGCTAAACATTACCTTTTGTTTTATATGCAATTAAAATGAAGATATTTTGATCTCACTCAAGGTGCAAAGGGTTCTGCTGATCCAGAGAGATGAGTCAGAAGTGACTCATCACCTGTTTTTTGGCAGGATGTTTAGAACATGGACAAATCACAAGGTGAATGGTAGAGATCATTCAAAACACCGTGGCCTCCCTTCAGTACTTAAAGGCTGGGTTGGTTAAACATCACCTTTTTTTTTTTCCTTCTGAAATCTTACAGATAAACCAGCAGACAGAAGGTTTCACCTCACTAGAAGATTTTTACTCTATGAGACTCCACAGATAGCAGCATTCTGCCAGGGAGCACAGCCTGTGTAGCAGAACCTAAACTTACCACAGACACCAGCAGCTGCCTCCTGTGATCTCTTGAAGTCCAGAAATCAGAAGGTGACTCATGGTGTACAGATTCCAAAAGAAACCTTCCTGTCAAACATTTCTGGTTGTGCTGTGCCCTTTTTAAAGGGTGTCTGAAGTGTCACACACAACCAAGTAAATGTAAATCACTTACATACCTAACCTAAAGCCAAGTGCAATGGAATGTTTATCCTTTAGCAGCTTAGTCCATCAGCTTTCTTTCCTCTTCCCTCTAAATATTCCTTCTCATTAAGCAAAGGACAAATAAACTAATTGCTTATAGCCCTATTAAACTAAGATCAGATAGAGAGCAGTCAAAAATTGTGCTCTTTTGTCAGCTTCATCTCTGAGAATCCACAGTATAATTTTATAGCAAGCTAAACACTTACTTCAGAAGATATTAAAAGGAAAATTCCTCACTGGAAAAGTGAAAATAATTCATTACCTCATTTGCCTTAACATAGACATGACTGAAGCAGCACATTGTCCAGAGACACAATTCTGAAGAAAGCTGGAAGAAAAAAGGCAAAATAAATACTGTCTTGATCCTACTTCTTGCACCTCATTTAATCAACTTTGTGTATTTGTTTTCTCTCATCTAATCTTTATCAGCCACTGAAGGATCAATTTCTTAAAACTTGTATCACAGCTTAAGATGTGATAAGTGCATCATTATTTCCATTACCATTTTAATTTCATTTCTAGAAATCCAAGTATCCTAACTTGATAAAGACATACTGTTTCTATAATATTTTGAACACAAACTGGCCTGAAACGTGTCTCTCTTCTGAGCATCTTTAGTGTATTTGTGTGTCTCTGCCATCCTTACCTCTTCTTTCTAGTTCTCATCACCCAAGCTAATTCCATCCTTTTAGTCCAAAACATCTCTCAGGCTGGAATTCCTGCTCTCACACTCACCAGTGTATGAGACACTTACATTTCTGCACATCTCAAACGGCTTTTTGGACAAAAGGGGAAGTGCTGCCATGTGAGTGTGGGTGCCACAGAGAATCACAGGATGGGTCAGGCTGGGAGGGACCTCAGGGGTCATCTGGCCCAACCTCCCTGCTCCAGCAGGGCCATCCCAGAGCACATGGCACAGGACTGTGTCCAGGTGGTTCTGGAGTATCTCCAGTGAGGGCGACCCCACAACTCTGTGGGCAATAACACACTCTGGATTACCTCAAACTCTGTCTGTGCTTTCAAAGGATCCAGAAGCCAAGATTCAGCTACATCCACACAAGGAGCAAGCACCCAAGCTAAAACTTTGAACTCTAGAATTCTGCTAACTCCTTTTGCTGATTCACCTGCCCTTGGTTGTGGTTAAAACTGGATGCAAATACAAAGAAATGGTTCTGTGCACAGAGCAAATGAACTCTTACACTTTGTTAGTCTGGACTTACCTTAAGCAATGCTAAACCATTCCATTCATTCTGAACCTTACACTCACCGTTTAACTTTGTATGGAGAAAAACTCACAGGAAGAGGTTCCAAGTTATTAATTTTGACTGGTTTAGCACCTCCTTCACATCTAGAAGACTCCAGGAAGCACAGAAAGAATTTTGTCCTTATAGGAAACTTGGTAGGTCTAGTTCTGTGTGCACAGGTGCAAGTAATCCAACACACATTGGAAAAGAAGGCAATGAGAAGATGGGAGACTCAACTCAAACGTGAGAGTATTATACATGAAAGTTGTATTTCTGCATGGTATAAACTTTAGTTTAGGCTAATTTGGTCCACTTCTTGAGGAAAAAAAAAAAAAAAAAGGAAAATTAAAAAGAGGCAGTGTTGCATTAGAAAGTGTTTTAAGTTTGTTCCTTTGTGTGGTTTTCAGCACTACTCAGCATCCCCTGGTAGCTGTGAATTACTCAAGTGTGATCACAGATTTAAGGGTGATATGCCTTATATGGAGAGATGTTATTTGAGAGACTTTTTTCCAGTCTTTTCCCTTTGCTATTAGAGTAACAATTAGTCACATACTGTGCACACATTTACAAAAAGGCACTTTAAAGCAGATTTAGAACACATTCATAATTAAATGTATCTTTGAAGCAATCTATTGTAAATATCTAATTGGAAATACATATTAGCATTACAGGTTATTAAACACTGAGGTTTGCTGCTTGTTACTGGATTTTAAAATTGGTTCAGTATTCCTAGAGTTTAAGAGAAACCTGAGATAAGAAAGTTGATGGCAAACTGCACTTATATATGTCACCACATATAAGTCCTGCCAATGCTATAGTAAAAGATAAAATCTTATTTTTTACCTTGTTATACTGTTGTTAGTTTTTAAATAATGACATTCTGAGGGAAACTGAAAATGAAAATTTGCCATGTAAAATAACAGAACAGTAACTTTAGACAAACTAATTTGTATCATTTTTCAGACAAAGCAAAATTATATTAAACAATATTAAAATGATATTTTATGTACACAAACACACTATCTAAACACAAAATGCTGAGAATACAGCAAGCTGAAAGAATCAGAATTTTTCTACTCTGCACATTATGTGTAAGAAAAATATATTACCAAAGAAATGCCAAATACAGGTGTATGATCAATAAGTGCCAGCTTCAATAGTGCAACATTTTATTAATGACAGAAATATCTGGTTTAACACTGCTCATGTTACAAAAAACCTGCAGTGACAGTGATAATGGCAGCAAAGGGGAATTTGGCACTGAAGATATAGCAAAAGCACATTTCAGTGGTCTTTTAAGTGCATCAACAAAAGGCTTATTAGTGAAAAAAGCAAAAAGTAAAAAAAAAAAACCCCAAACCTTTCAGTTATTTAAACTGGCCAATGAAACAGCAGAAAGAAAACCTATGTAAAATATTGTAATACAGTTTACACAAGGTTATCTTTTTTTTTTTTCCAAGTCAATTGATGCAAACACAAATATGCTGAGACACATTTAGAAATAGCACACGTGCATTTGGGTTTTATTCAGTTCAACTACACAGCATTTAAAGGTTCAGTACTAAAAGGAGCACTTTTAAAACTAGCCTTATCTGTGGCTTGCTTACCTGTAGCCTAATTTTCAACTTTTTTTTTTTGTTTGTTTACAAATTAGACCTACAATGGTAGTGTTTCTAAAAATACATTGGGGTGGAATGTGTAAGTTTGCTATTTTAAAACTCAACAATCTAAAATGTGGTACAGTACAATGATTTTTATCTTGTATCTGGCTTTACACAAAGTTTCCACCTTCTGGTTTCCATATGTGTATTTCAGGATGTACATCAAACTTGAAGGCAATAAAAACTGTGTCTGTGATGGAAAAAATGTGTGGGGCAAATTAAAATAGCCATTTTGCAACAGTAGTTTGTGTCTTTTAAAAAAAAATCTTTAATTCTCCTAGAGCTTTACATACAAAGAATAAATGAGATACGATCTTATTTCCTTTAAATTTAATATGGGAAATGGGTGCAAGATAAAAATCTGTGATGTGGTTGACTTGTTTTTAAAGTGAACCTGAGTAAGGGCAGGAAATACAACATTACTTATGACTAAAAGAATAAAAGTCCTTCATAATTTAAGTAGCTGAACAGGTTTTTAATGTTCTACCACAAAACAGCAAGGCAACAGATGAGAATGGCCTTGTATTCAATGAAATATCATGAACATCCACTGCAAACCTGAATATTTTCTGCAAAAATAAAACATCAGATTATGCACAATAATAAAAAGCATCAGAAATAGATGCACCTGGATTTTCTTTCCTCTTTTTAAACCACAAGTATCAGAATTCAGCATTTATGTCACAGTCCTTGAACAGTTGCTCTGAGATGACTACATGAAGCACACTACTGCACTAAGTAGACACCCCACAACAGGCTTGCACTGCAGCAGTAACATAGTTTTCATGTAGGCACAGACTTTTTTTCTCATTCATGTTCAAAAACAACATGAAATAAGCAACTCAAGACAACATTAGGATTCATCCCGCTGTTCCTTGTTAGCGAAAAGTTCTTGCCACTTTGGTAATCAAAGTCACTGAATGTTTTTTAAAAACTGCAGGTACCTCAAGGAAAAGAAGAGTTCCATATTCAGCAAGGCAGCATTATATCAGGATATTTTATACCAACTAAGGCATAAAGAACTTTGCATCAGGGTATACAATACTCAATCTCTGAATCAAGTTCTGTGTGGCGAAAGTGCATAGGAGTGGGATTCCACCAGAGCAAAAAGAATCCTCTCACAGTATTAAGGCCTTTCGATTTTGTGTGTGAGCTGTGTCAGGCTGAAGTCAGCACAGTGGGAAAAAAACATAGGCTGTCATCACACTGGACACCGCTGGAGCTCCCTCAGCAAGTCTTCTCTTCTCCTAGCTGCCGTTCATCATCTTCATCAGCTTCCTCAATAACCTGAATGTCATCTGCTTGAGGTAAAGATGAGATTTCAGTCAGCAGTTTGGCTCCTTCTGTTTTGTTTTTCTCTTCCTCTTCGATGACTTTCTTCCATATTTTGTGATTTTCACTGAGGTGGTGTATTAGCTGGCAAAATATTCGTCTACCTTTTTTTCTTTGAGCTTCTGTAAAATTACAAGCAGATTGGATTGTTTGACATTCTGAGTAATTGTATTTTACACATACAAAACCAATGGCACATTGCAAGCGAGATGTAAATTTCAGCGAGGCACATGGGTGATTATTCTGAATATTTAAATAGTGGCATGGCAAAGGATATCAACAAAGTTCTGGTTTAAATTGCAAGTCTCCTAGTAGCAGAAAATTTTTGTTACAAGAGGAAAATTTATGAAGCAGCATAATAGCAAAATCTACAAGATTTGTAGTGCACAATTTCAGCTGTCACTGCTACGTGTGAAGCTACTGAAAGACAACTAAGCACCAACTGAAACACAGAAACTTACTTAAAATAAGATCATCTTCCATTTCTTCATCATCACTCTCTAACTGTGCACCATCATCATCTTCAGTGCTTTCTGCATCCTCCTCCTCTTCATCAATCCACTGCCCTGGAAGCAACCCAGCTGCATTGTAGGAATTACAAAGGGGGCCAACAATGTGAGTGATGAAAGATTCCTGCAATTTCGCCAGCTGGGGAGAAGAACGATCCATGAAGGGGCTTATAGGTAATCCAAGACTTGCTTCCTCATCACCCTGAAAAAGAAATGAAAAAACTTATCAAAATTTCTCACAAAATTGGCTTTAAATTCTTATTTTAAAAGTTATTTTTAATGAACTGACTGAGTAACCTCCAGCTTCCTCACGGGAAGCGCATGGAAAGGCCCTGATCTCTCCAGTGAGCAGGGACAGGACCCAGTGGAATGGCATAAAACTGTGCCAATGAAGGTTTAGGCTGGATATCAGGAAAAGGTTCTTCACCCAGAGGGTGTTTGGGCATTGAACAGCTCCCCAGGGCAGCAGTCACAGCACCAGCCTGACAGAGCTTAAGAAGCTTTTGGACAATGCTCTCAGACACGGGTGTAATTTTTGGGGTATCCTGTGAAGGGGCTAGGAGTTAGGCTTTGATGAGCCCTGTGGCCCCTTCCAATTCAGGATATTCTGTGATTCCATGGAGCACCACATGGATTGTATGTTTTTACTGGGGAGAATAATTGCACGGACTAAGTGCATGACAGTGTGATTAGGCCAATTTAAAATAAAGGCACATTAAGGCTCAGACTTGCACAGTCCACAATGCTCCCTCCAGCTTTGCTTGTGTCTGGATGGAGAACTAGTTCTACTGGAGCTGCTATTCCTCTGCCTGTACAGGATGGCTTCAGAGCAGGCAGAGACTCAGCTTCAACTGCTGAGCCGATGAACAGAGAAAGCGGCAGAGAAATCAGCCATAGCAAGGCATGCTGGTAATGGCACAGGAGAATGAAATGAGCTATAACATCCAGAGTGAAGTGGTTTGCTCTGCTGTTTTGTATTGTTTTTTTTCCCCACCATTTTATAAACTGGAGAAGAAAAACGTTGAACACTTGCTCATCGAAAAATCTGAGCTATAATTACTTGTCTCAGCACTTCCATGGACCTGAGAGCTTTAGAGCTGAACATACATTTTCAGTCTTGTGGATTTTGTACATATTCTTTCACCTAGAAACACATCTGTGAACTCAACTTCTGAAAGTGGAAGAAGTCAACCTAAGGAAAGAAGCTCTCCCCCTCAAAAATCCTCTAATATCTGAAAAATGGAGAATACTGACTTGATTTCTAACACAATTATTAGAAACTAAAAGATCATGCTAGTAAGCTACCTGTGAAAATAAATTTCAGTATTCAGGATGAGAAGATAGAAATACCTTACCTGAAGATTTAAAATAAGGAATAAAGCTGAATTTAGTTAAACCACTGGTAAAACAAAGTATTACCTACCCATCATTAAAAAGAGAAAATTGCTCTTTCCATACCCACCTGCTCATAAAATTCATTGACAATGCCTTCAGTCCATTTCAGATGCAGGTCTCTGATTTTGGCTGGGCCGTTGATATCAGCCAGTTTGATGCATATTTGACAGGCCAGCAGGCGATCGTTCTCATTGCTCCACTCTATGCCATTGCTGTTCATGTCATTCACCTGGGGTAGGCACAGACATCCAGTTCAAACTATTCACCCATGGGCTTATTAGGCAACCTACAGACCATCTACAGCTGGTTTGTGTAAAGCAAACACTCTATTTGCATTTTAATAGCTTAAATTTAAATAATATAAAACTTTAAATGCAAATAATTAAAACTAACAATTACTGAGAAGCAGTGATAAAATCTGTATACCAAGATCAGATCAGTGCAGACATTAAAGTGGAACAAACCTTGGCATTAAATTCTGCAAGGAAATCAAAATGCTTCTTGAGGTCTGTGGCAAGGATTGCTTCAATCACTAAGAAACGAAAGCGCTTGAATTCCACGTGATCAAGGTTCGATAAAAAGTTGTATTCTGGTCGTGATAAGAAAAGATTCCAGGCAGATGCAGCATGGTGATTTTCTAGGACTGATCTGTCATTGTAAAGAACAGCCTACAGGGGAAAAAAAAACAACCAAAGAATCGTAAATTACACAGGGAAGTTTTAAACAAGTTATCATTAAATATTCTGAATTTTCAGGGCTAGTCAGAAACAACACTAGGTAAAAATTAAAAAAAAAAATGTTTTGTCTTCTAGTTTTGGGATTAAAGTGACACAAAAATGACAGCTAAGGGAACCCTCCCCCCCAAATGTAACAATTAGCAATGTTCTTTTTTTCTTTAAACATCCTCAATGATATCTTAGTGACAACTACATTCAGACTGTAGGCACACACACAAAAACTACTTAAGACTTTGCACAGTGTATGCATGGAGCAGTGTGTGTTTTATGTCACACAGTGATGTAAAATAGAAAACAAGAAAAAAAACCCTAAGTATTTGTTTTTAATTCCTTGGTTTTCATTCCTTGTTTTAATTCCTTTGTTTTTTAATTGTGTTGGAAAAATAAAAACAACAAAAACCCCAACAAAAACAAAGAAATAAACAAAAAAAAAAACCAAAAACAAAAAAAAAAAAAAAAAAAAAAAAAAAAAAAAAAAAAAAAAAAACCAAAAAAAAAAAAAAAAAAAAAAAAAAAAAAAAAAAAAAAAAAAAAAAAAAAAAAAAAAAACAAAAAAAAAAACCAAAAAAAACCCCAACAAATTAAAAATCCCTCTAGAAAAAGGACTCCAAAACACATAAGAACTGTCATAATGGAAAATGGTGCAAATTACCACTAGTTTTCAAAGGGCTATGTTTAATGCTAATGCAGAAATTTTAACTGTAAATGAGCTAACTAAAATATAAAAACAGTGGCAAATTTTACTCACGGCTTCCATGTTTATAAAAACACACTATAAAATGATTAATTCAAGATAGATTAAAAAGAACCTGAAAAAAACTTCATTTTGCCGATGCTTTTTGCAATTTTTTTGAAGAATGCTTGTGGTTTTGAGACTTGGTGATGGGTGCCTCTGTAGCTTGGTTTTGCTCCTTCTTGTATGCTGTTTTCAGCAGAAATACATAAGTGCCTACATGCTAAACTCCCTTTGTAACAAGGAGTTGTTGAAAACTGATTGTAAAGTTCATTTTCAAAGTCTTTATCTTCTAGCAAGCTGTACCAGTTGTTGTTGTTATTATTATTTAAGTTTCTTGTCTGTAACTCACTAAGAGATCCAAGTAGCCATCATAGTTGATTAGACAGACCTAGGGCCACCTCTCTATGAAATAATCCTTTATCCTGCACTGGTTTATGTAGTTATTTTCAGTTTTGCAAATTGAAAGTTGTTTCTGCATGCATACACAACCAGTACACACAAAACACATCAGAATTTAACAGGAAAGAAAAATAAAAATATTACACCAGCATAGTACACATTTATTTCCCCATTTCTTAAATCGGGCCTTAAATTCTTCAATCCCACACAACTTACTTTAGAGATATACAACACAAAAAAAACTTCTTTATACTGATTTCAGACAGAAAGAAGTGATTTTCTGTGTGAAGAGGTCCCTACCTGAGGTGCATTTGTGGCCACTAGAAAAGCATTGGTACGTCCAGGGTGATCATAGTCGTGCATGGCAGCTGCTACATACAAAGCCATCAGTTCCAAAGCAGGAATGTTTGATGCCAGGCAGCCGTAACTGTCATCAGTAATAGGACAGCTTTTTGAAGAAGTGTAGCTGACTTGAACTGGGGCAATACCACTGGCTTCATCTAAAATTAAAAAAAAAAAAAAATCAAAGTACTAAACAAGAATATTTTTAGCACAGCATTTCATTCATATTTATAATACCTTATAAATCTGCATAAACAGCCAGATACTGTTGTAAACACTGTTGCTGTCATGAAGCTGAATAACTGTCAAAGACTTATATTTTAAAAAAGAAAAATTGATGATAATTATTATAGATAAACTAACAATTTTGAAGAAAAGTTGAAGTGCCATTGAGTTGCAAATTTGTAGCATTAACAGAGCATTTTACTGTTTGTCTCCAGCCTGAATTTGTCCAAGAAAAGATTAATCAGCATCTTCCTTAGTATTTCCATAATTTGCCCATTTCCCTACAGGAAAACCTGGAGCGGGGCAGTGGAAACTACTGCAAAAGGAATTAACTCCATTAATTTAGAAATATTTGCATGATAAGAAGATTCACAGTTTTATTATCATCTTTCCCATGGACAAAGTCACTACTTTAAAAGAAAAAGGAAAAGAAATAGCACTTATTTTATCAATGCATAATATCAAAGGAACTCCCTTGCCTTAATAGAATAAGCAAGGATTAAAAGCCTGAAAATATTTATACTGGAAGAGTTTCCAAGGAATAAGATTGTAACTTCTTATTTTAATTTTTTTTTTTTTTTTTTTTTTTTCTTTGTGGAGGAGAATAAAATTATTGTTATCACTTTTCTCCAGTTAAGTCTCCAGTCCCAACCCATTTAACACTTGGAGAAAGAAAAGCCAATAGGGTGCCATTGATAGATAGGGACAAACATGGAAAAAAGAGAAAATCCCACCCTTTAAAAGCCACATGACTTGTGTCTTGTCTTTTTCTACTACACATATAAAACAGAGTTCTTGGAGAGTGCCTGATTTTAATTTTTCTGAAATAAAAACCGTTTAGCATCAAAGTCTATGTTTACAATCTTTTTTTTAACCTTTATTTATAGGATACAGTTAGGTAAAAATTACAAATTCTAAATTTAAAGGTTTGTTCTATGAAGTCACAGACAACAAAAAAGCAAGCCTCACTGGAAGTAACTTCACACAACATTTGAATTTGGAGGTATTATTTCCTTTTCAGGGATGCTCTTATGCAGTTATTCTTGGGGTGGTCACTTCAGAGTTTGAAAGTCTGCATGTGATACCTAACTGAAAATTCTAAAATATTAATTTTTATACTAAAGCCATTAAGCAGAATTTCAATTAAGTTAAATACTTTGGAATTTTTTCTTTGGTCTATTTAACTTTCCAATAAAGTTAAGAAATATTAGCCTAATGTATTTCAAATGCTAAAAATACCCTGACTGCGGCAGAATACAGAGGTTTCATTCAGCATAGAAAATTTATTAAGTGAACCAGTTTTCTTGGCTAACAAACTAACCATTACTCATCTACTAATTTTTCTAAAAGTCAATTGCATGATATTTCTGAACGGTGTGTGCTTTGTGATTTTTTTTCTACTGCCTTATATTAAAGCACAAAAAAAAAAAAACCCAGAAGTGAGTCATAAGAATAATTCAATATTTTCTTCCAGAGTAATTTGGTTTACCTACTGTAGTTTCATTTTAACATTCTTCAGCAAAACAAAAATAACCTGTGTGAATACACACCTATTTCACTCTCCATGATGTGCTCATTACGGATTTGCTGAAATCCAGGAATGGGCCGTGTGGTCAGGTACCACACTGCATGGAGAACATCCGTGGCATGGATACGATTGTGATCTGAAAATCAGCAAGACACAATTAAAAAATTGTTACCTGAAATGGCATCAAAAGGAATAACAAAAACAACAAAAAAGAAATGTACAAAATGTATTATAAGTGAGATTTTGATTGAATCTAAAAGGAAAAATTGAATTTAAAATGTTAGTGGTAGATATATGTATCACGGAACATTTTTAAGAAGGCAGTTAGATAAACAAACAGTGTCTGTGTACATTTCATCCTACCTGGGGCCTCAGGAAGGGATTAAATGGCCTTATAAATCAATAATAGTGAGAAGCAAGCATGGCCTGCAATCTGATACCTACATCACCCAGGCTGGGCAAACATCTGTGGAGTGGGGAAGTGTGGTTTTTGTTTTGTTTTCCAATAAATTTGGCTGCCCTGCACAGCAAGGTGGATAACTACCATCACAATTCTCTATTTTCTTCTCATTTTGTTAAGGACCTCACCCAAATTTCTGTTAAATCAGCAACTATTCTCCCATTGACTCCAGTGTGTTTGATTCAACCACTAATTCAAATTCTTTTCCATTATCTTCAAACTCCAAATTAACAAATTCACTTTTAGAGCCCACCCACTTTAATTCTCTAGACCCATTCTAAGCTCTGTCAAGTACATTCACTAAAACCACACTAAGCTGGCCAGAAATGCAAATTCCCACAGCAAAGGAGAGCCACTGATAACAAAATTCCGTGTGTAACCAGGGAGCACTTACAGGGAATATCCCGGTAGCCGTTTTCCAGTGCACAGAAGTAATTCATAAATTCTTGAGTGGGGATTTTGAAAATTTCAAACAAGCCAGTGTCTTGAAACAAGGTATAAGTAACCTAAACAAAGATTAAAATTAATTTAAATCTGAAAGACATACCGATGCATGTTCTGCTTTTTCAGCTTTAAAAATGTTCTTGTTTTTAAAATTTTACTTGCCAACAGACATGGAAATCACTGAAATTCCACTAAAGATCATTGGAATGCTAATGTCATAGAGATATAGTTAATAAATTTTTAGCACAAAAAAGTGGATTGTTATGATCCTCTCAATAAAGAATAATAAAAGCTTTTATTTAATTACTGATAATTCTGTGCACAACTAATTAGTAATAATATACCCCAACATTTTTCAGAAGACTAAATAAGCCGTGTTTTACTCCATTAGTGACCTAAAAAGAAGAAATTTATATTGAGACTTATTATTCGAAACTTCAAATTATTTAATTATAACTAATAATAAAACAAAACAAAGAGAAACAAACAATACCAGTTCCCCAAGGTGTTTTTGAGACTTTGGCAAAGAGATGCCATTTCCCGTATTTATTATGATTTCTCATTAATGTTTTTAATAAAACTAGCTGGTAAATGAAGAAGTATTTTAAAAAGGTACTCAGAACTCCCATATATGTATATAAACCATATATTATGGTTTACTTGCAGAACTTAATGTACTTCAAAGCCTAATCCCCCCCACCCAAGGCTGCAAATATTGAAAAAAAATTTTAAAACAAGTCACTGCTAGTCGTTTTTATAACTTTTTCCTGGACACAGGAGAGGAACAAGAAGTTCTGAAGTGTGGGAGGTGCTCAGAGGAACAGGAGCTGCAAAATTAGGGGACATCACTCCAGGGTGGAAAACTAAGACACTGGAAATAAAACTGTTCAGCGGTCAGATCAGAATCTCCACCATTGCTAAATCCACTCTAAAGAAGGAGACAAAAGCCTCCAGATGACCTTGATGAATGGGAGAAGCTGGGGAAGAGCAAACAGAATCCTACTCTTGCACCTGCCTGCAGGATTGGCTTCAGCAAACACGAAACTGCACGGAAATAAATCAGAAAGAGATAAAAGGGATACTACATGCAGAAAGCAGCATGGAAAAAAACCCCACTGTTTGTAGGATCAAGAGGCAAAAGGCTGCCTAAAAGATCACTTCTCTTCCCTCACAGGTGGGGCAGAAATATTTTACTGAAATTAAGAAAAAAGCTATGGTTGTCAAACAGAGTAGTAATTCTGAAAGCAGGAGATAATTCTGCACAGGAAATGGCAGATTATGGCAAAACCTAGTCAGTGTGAGTCTAACCTATTTATACTGAGAATAAAATTCAGAAAAACTGGAGCATGTTCTGTAGATAAACCATTTTTTATGGTTTACAATGACATGGAGTACATCAGAAGTCATAGTTCTGCTTTTGAAGATATTCACATAAATGCAATTTCAAGTATTCACATGAATGTTGACTGCAAAACTTCTTCATGGCTTAAATAAAGGACAGTTTTACCTACTCTCCCTCACATAATAAAGGACAACAAACCTGGCTGAGGATCCTTCCAGACTGATCTCCCATTTCTTTTACAAGGTCAAAAACTTGGAAATTCCAATTGTTCATCTTCTCCATTAGTGAATCATGGTCTAATAACATTGTTTCTAATGTAGAACTCTGTTCCACCTGTATGAGATTAAGATACTTTATCATCTCTAAAATAACAATGAAAATTAATTTATCAGTTGTGTTGGCAAAAAAAGCCTTGAAAATGATAAATCATTAGTGAATTTATTGAATGGTGCTGCAACTATGGCTATGAGAAAATCATAAATCAATATCACAAATAGCACACTTAAAGGCTTGAGTTTTCCTGTTTTGGGCAGCAGATACTGGGGCTGTCTGAGATGGTGCTAAATTTTCCTTCTTATTTATTTTTAGACAAGATGAGTTAATAAAATAAAGCAAAAATATGCATAGGCTAAAACCAAAGATTTACTGAGCTTTAAGTATAGGTTAATTGGACAATTTTAAAAACACCTGATGTATAAACCCAAAATGTTAATAGCACTGTATTGAACATTCATTTCTAAGTCTCACTGTAACTGCTGCATCTTTCATGAAGTTCCAAAAGAAAATATTAGCCAGTGTTTGAGCATACCCTCTCAACATTAAATCTACACAAATCAATATTGATCAACAAAATCAATACAACCACAAGCTTTCCTGTCATTTGCTAGTGACATTTATGCAAGATAAACAATTGTTAAACAAAAATTTGAATTCTAACCATGCACCATAACCCTTTAGAAATTACTATTTTAGCAACATAAAGGCCTCTTCACAGCAAGTTAGAAATGATAAAGAAATAGGGGATTGAGAAAAGTTATTGCAGGGGTTTTTTTGGCAATTACATGCTTACAAGCAGTGTATTTTGTGTTTGATCGATCAATTCCTTCTTTTCATCTTTCCTCTTCTCTGTAGGGTGGAAAGATTCTTTGGAGACATTAGCACTTGCAATTTCAACTTAAAGAAAACACACAGAGAAATACTATATCAGTAACTGATTTGCAATTTATTACTGTCTAATAATTTTTAGCTGATCATACAGACTTGTCACAGAAATACAAGTAATAGCTTGTTTCTAAACCATTTTATTTAAGAAGTATGCAAAAAATGCCATAAAGGACAAAACTTATTAGAGAAAACCTATTTGAATATTAAGAAAAGCTAAAAGCATGGCTTTTATTTGAAAAAAATGGTTCAGTGATTACTTTAACTTTGTTGGTCGAGCACTTGTTTGATACATGGAGTACAGAACTAAAAAGGTATTAGTGGAAGCCTGTTTTAAAATCCTTACTATGAAGCAGGCAATATTTTGTCTTATTTTGATTATTCTAAAACATAAAGCGAAGTAAAATACATACACAGGTTAAAATGCAAGAAGAATTATGTAGAAATAGTAAAATTTTAATTTAACTGGCTTGAAATAAAAAAGCAGTAAGTTGATATCAATTGTTTGTCTATTTTGATATCCCACCTGATTTTCTGTCTCTGTATTCTGCAAAGTCTGGCTCTGGTACTGGAACAGGCTTGAGTATCTGACGTCCACAGCTTACAGAACACATGAAAAATATTTACAACATTCAGTAACTTTCTTCTTTTGCTACTGCTGTCTTCTACTGAAAAATACCTGCAGATTACTTTTTTTAAAAAGGCTTGTAAAGGTTCCTTCAACAACTGACCTGAGTATTTTCTCCAAAATTTGGCACATATAGATTTAGTCTTAGATAACAACAAATCATCACCTCCCGCAGACTTAGACCCCTAAATTATTAAAGTAGAGCTCATAACTAAGAAAGTATTCAGAAACACAGAATCTAATTCCCAAGTAAGAAACCCTCCTTTTCTAAAATTCAACAGAATATTGTTCCTCTACAATTACAGCTGCTGAGAAGGATGGGCCATGTCAAAGCAGTCATACATACATACATTATTCTCCCCTGGATAACAGTTGCAGATTATTATGAGATTTATGCCCTTTTTCCATCCTAGTAGGGGCACAGGTCTTGATTTTCCTTTTTTTTTTTTTTTTTTTTTTTTTTTTTTGTGGGTTTTTTTTTTTTTTTTGGTTGGGGTTTATTTTGTTGTTTGTTTGGTTTTGTTTTTATTTTAATTGCATTCTTTTCAACCCACATGAAGCGACTGAAATTATAACAGAGTTTACAGTACCTGCTACACATATAACCTACAGGTGTTTTAACTGGCTGCTGAAAATCTGGAGAGCTAAGTGTGTGTCCTGGAGGCTTGTGTATATTAATGCTTGGTTTTGTGAGGAAATCAGCCGTGTCAGGGAACTCCACAGGTGACCAGCTGCTGAAAGCCCCGCTGGAGACAGATCCATGGCTTGGTGAACCCACGGGACTCAGGCCAGGAGAAGCACCTTCCAAAACAAACATGACATGGGGTTCAGATGACAATAAAGTCGTTGCTGTTTACAAAGAGAGGAGTTAAACGACGAGGGACATGCTGAAGTTATTTTAGTGCTATGTTTACATGAAAAACCCTGTGACGTGCCATCCTGTTACTGTACAAATGGCATGATCCTACCTGCTCGTCTGGGGGCCATGTGATGAGCCAAGGTCACAGAGGACGATCTTTGCTTTGGTATTGTCAGCAAGTTTGCACCAAAAGACCCATTTGAGTGAGATCCTTGGCTGAAAAGAAAACAGTAAGGATTGTGTTTTTTCTTTGTTTCTTAGTTTCTCTTCCTCTTTCATTAAACAAAACGCTTTTAAAATAGCTACACTGCCCTGTGACAGGTCCACCACCATTTAAGAAAAATACTACAAAGCTGTCGAATTCAAAACCAGCTAGAAAATATATGCCAATTACATGAAATAAAAACTGCTGTGTACTGATTGAACCCAACAAAAAACTTAACACAGTCCTAAAATGATGCAGTAAATATACTCAGATTATGTGTGATATGTTTTACTTTCTAACATGCTACCTTCCTTGAACATTTGAAGCAGGTTATTTCCTAACAGATGTGAAGACTGATCACTTTGGAAATACAATTAAAACCTTACACAGCCACATAAATTTTGCCACATAAATATTCAATTAGGTGTTTTATTTATTATAAACTTAAAACTGAAGCTGTTTTTGACATCAAAGTGTGTTTTGCTTCAGCGGCCAAGTCCTTAAACTCGATTGCTCAATCCTGCCATCTGCTGTTCCAGGGACGAAATTTCACTACATCATTTAAAATTTTATTTCCTTTAGGGAACAAAAGCGTAATATACAATTAAAAATAACTGTATGTGTTTACTTGAAAGTGAAAATAGTTAGTGTAAAACTATTTTTCTTCAGGAGGGGAAAATAGTATTTACCAAAACAGATTTAATCTTTCTTAAGCCTATGGCAAAAAAAGTCCAATACAGAAATAATACTTGATCTCTCATCACTAGTTTAAATACATGAATATGAAAAATGAGTTCAAGAATAAACGTGTATTTATTTCTGTGTATCTCCAGCTACTGGAAAGGGTGCAGTGGAGGCCATAAAGATGATGGGGGATCTGGAGCATCTCCCATATAAGGAGAGGCTGCAGGAGCTGGGCTTGGTTAGTTGAGAGAAGGCTGAGAGGGGATCACATCAATGTACATAAATATCTCAAAGGAGGGCTCAGAGGATGGCACCAGACTCTTTTCAGTGGTGCCCAGCAAGAGGAGGAGGAGCAATGGCCATAAAATTAAACATGAGAAGCTTCACCTCAACATGAGAAAGAACTTTAAGTTTTGAGCTTGTGTTTGAATGAGAAACCAAATAAAAAATCTGCATACAAATAAAACAGAAGTTCCCAAGAGCTGCTTTTGAATAGTAAGGAAAGTGAGGAAACCCTCTGTAAATGTACACTGAGACTGCAACAGGAGGGCTGAGCCTCAAATTGAAATCCCATGGTTGCTACAGTTTCTCTGGTCCCTGGTCATTTCCAGTGGATACAACTGGGGAGGTTCATCTGGACACCAGCAAGCAGGTCAGAATGAAAATATAATCTTAATGACTGTTACTGCTTCAATTGTAATTCATACACAAACCACAATTAAGTTTTACAATGTAAAAACTTAAAGATCATCTTTTATTCAAGGGGGAAAAACCACCAAAAGGGCCTAATTATTCAAGTGGTTCACTTTAATATTAAGTATAATACTGATAAGTAAATTCTTGGACATGTATATATAAATTCCCATCTACTACTAATAATTACCAGTTATCAGCATAACTACATTTTCTTTTTTAAAAATGTATGTTACACTCTCCTTATGACCTATAGAGAACCACTTAAAGAAAAAAAAAAACCCAAAAAAACCCAACCCAAACAAACAAACAAAACCAACAAAACAAGAAAAGCAAAAACACCCACATATTTACAGATTTCAGAAGCAAAGGCATACTCATTTACATATTTAAATAAAATTAAATCTGTGAATTTTCACTAATGTAAAACATTATACACAAAAAGGGGAAAAAAAAACCCCATCCATTTTAATCCTAATTCAGAATGTTGTCTTAATTCTGGAAATAAAAGCTCTATTTGCACCATATTTACTAAGTAGAGAACAGATAACTACCTTAATGTATCTTACACATTGCTAGATGACTGGAGGACTAATAAACATGGAACACAATAGTGGCTACCAACCATAAGAAAATTGTTTCACCTTTTTAATTATGCACAGGTATATGGAAGTTGGCAAGTGATACATATATTAAATAAAATGAAGGAGGCAGTCAGTACAAGTTTAGAGACTAAACTAGTCTGTTTTGCAATCAGGTATGCTGGACTTTTTTTCATTTCCTACTCAAGCTTACATCAAGGCCTACTTATTATGACAGAGCACACTATTTAACCTCAGAACAACCTGATTTCTACTTAAGATCACGGTGAGTTACATAGCATAGTACATAATTAACTTTTCCAGTTTATGCTGGCAGAATTTGGAGACTTAATTCACAAGACTTTACATCCAATACTTCTGCTGCCAAGTTCCAGCATTGTTATTGCCCTTAAAATGCTGTTCAGTGCTTACCTTGGTGTGTTATATTCCTGATGGGATCTCTTGCTAATGCTACTCCTTTCCCATCTGGATGATGTTGATTCCATAGATGACAAGCCAGAAACTCCTGAGGATCGTCTCAGCTGTGGGGTTGGCAGGCTGCTCCTGCTACTTAATCCCTGCTGAGTAATTTGACCGTGGTTAAAATCCATGGAAGTAAAAGCAGATGTTAACTTTTTATTTATGGTTTGTAAAGGCTATTTATTGCTAATTTTTATAGTGAAACACTTGATGTGGTACCTTACCACAGGTATGGTCTCTTACTCCAGGTGGGAATCTCCCAAGGGCAACAAGGCCAGGAGATAAGAGATGTGCACACTCAGGGGTTTGCCTAGACAACTTTCAGCCTTGGCTGTGAAATCTGTTAAAATCATGACTGCTAATAACAGCAGAAATCCACCCATATGGCAAGCATCCTACTGTCATACACTGGGTGACCTGGGGACAGTTCTAGGGACAGTCCTGATGGAAGTGGAAAGTGTTTTTGTTGCAGAGCAGCCTTGCAATGGTTTTTTCTATTTTTTTTCCCTGAATTTTGGGCAGTTCACACTTCCAAGAAACCCATGGGGAAGGGTTAGCATTAGGCAAACAGTTATGACTAGCCCAAGGTCTGAAGCCCTGTTTCATTCACGTTCTTTTCCCTGTTTTTAATTGCTTTCCTATAGAGGAGAACAGGCAGCTCACCACTGAATCATGGAATGGTCTGTGTTGGAAGGGACCTTAAAGATCCTGGAGTTCCAACCCACCCTGCCGTGGACAGGGACACCTTTCCCTAGACCAGATTGCACAAAACCCCATCCAGCCTGGCCTAACACCCCGTCTAACCCTGCTCTCTTTCACTTTGAAGCCATTCCCCCCTGTCCTGTCACTACATGCTTGTGTAAATAATCCCTCTCCACCTTTCCTACAGGCTCCCTTCAGGTACTGGAAGACCACAATTAGGTCACCCCAAAGCCTTCTCTTCTCCAGGCTGAACAATCACAGTTCTCTCAAATATTCTTTGGAGGAGAGGTGCTTCAACCCTCTAATCAACTTGATGACCCCCTAATCAACTTGAAAATTATAACTGAACACACTTTGGAAGCCACTCAGGGAAGAGAAATAAAGATGTACATAATCCACAGCAAAAAGATATGGAGGAGACCTTTTATATTCCAAGTCAGGGAAAGAGAGAGTGGGAACATTTCAAAATCATCCATTTTGAAGAAATACATTCATAATATTTTCTTTGCTGTGATTTAACCTGGAATTTTTGCTCACTTACCTGGTTTTTAAAAGCAAAAGAAATCTTTCTCTTGCAGTAGCATACACAGGGGGAAATATTTGGGCTTACTCTTAAACATACCAAAGCCAAAGAATTATTGAATGATTGTGGCAAATACTAGGCAAATTTCTATACAGAAAATCTCCAAAACTTGAGGAAAAAGTTACTTTTTAGGAAGGAGAAAAAGACAGCAGCTGTGAAAACCCATAATATTTCAATCTTACATACTCTTTATAACTGGTCTCCAGCAATGAATATTTTTAATTTCACACTATGGTGACCAGCTATAAAAATTTTTTTAAAATAAAAAGGTATGCCAATCCTTAGCAACTTTTAAAGAAATCCACAAAGAAAAACATGCTGAATGGCTGTGATCCCTGCCCAACTGATTTCTGCAGGTATCCATTGTGACATTACAAGGAATTTCATACTGCAGTGGTTCTGCTGGATCTTCCACAGAGTAACCTGCAGATACTGAGTTTTTCCCCCCAGAAATATGACTCCCAACAGACATTTCACAGGCTGAATCAGGCTCCAAAAAACTAAGCCAACCAGATGATCAGTTTGGGTCAAGTTGCCCTCTTCCTGGAAATGTAAACAACTACAAGGCATGTCCCAGAGTAGCCTCCACAATAAACAGCCTCAAGCTGTCAATACTGGGCTGGAATTACTAGCTCTGGTGCAGCTGAGTTTCTATATTGTAATTTTTTTCCCATCACATTCCTTACAATTTCTACAGTAACAACACTCTTGCTTTCACCTATTAACCCTGAGTAATGGAGAAGTCACAATTGGTCTCATAAAGTGATTTGCTGAAGAAAAAGAAGGGACAATTTTCCTTTTACATAGCTAATTTGCTTCTGTATGATGGCTGGTTGGCTGTCCACAAGAGTAAATTTCTCAGGGAAAAAGGTCAATGAAAAAACCACACTGACAGTAATGGTTAGATAAAGAACGCAGAAGAATCAAGAACAGCCCTGTTTGTCCCGTATCATGAGACTATAACACCTTCAGTTTATATTTGCTGTTATACTGAGGAATGTTGTGGACAGGGTGCAGACCAGTGCTTGTACTATCTACCCATCAACCACCTGAATTTGCATTTTTGTACCTATCTCCATTTCATTCAATGTGTTTTCACAGCTGCTCCCTTTTGACCTTAAACATTGTCCACAGGTACTCACTAGAGAACCTGCAATGCATACAGGAGCATTTCTTCAAGATGAATTTTCCTTTATCTATTTCACACACACACGAACGCAAATAAAAGACGTTAGACCTTGAGCAGCTTCCGGTCTTTTTCAGCAGGATCCTCTATTTCAGGACAGGGGAAGAAACCAGGAAAGGGTGTGAATGGGCTGGCCTTTGGCCTGCACGCTCCTGAGAAAGCACCAATGAGGCTGTTAATGCTTCGAAGGGAGGAGATCACATGTGGTGGGAGGCACGGGTCACTCAGGAGCTCCGTGAGCATGTTCCGAGCCTCGTTCAGCGCCGAGAGATCAACTCCGCTCCCACTGCCAGCACTCTGGAATAGATGGGAATGCTGCAAACTATTAACATGTCAAAACTCTTCATGGTGTTCTTTGTTTCAAGTATCTTATGCATTGTGAATTTAACAAAAATACATTTTAAAAAATCAATGCAACATAATTTCTTTTAACGAATATATATATATATATATAGATACATTCAGACAGCAGTGTCTGCAGGTTTTTGTCACACAATAAAAAGTAAATCACAATTCAACATTAGCTTTCAGCTTCCTTTTCTCTATTTGAAATGCGTTGGCAATTTTAAATCTCTATTTTCATTTCTTTGTCTCAGGATGAAACTTATTATTCTTTCTCTTCCAACAATATCAACAAATTTTGGCAGTCAAACTGTTAGAGCCCCTTACAGAGGTACAATTTCCACAACCTCATAATTCTTATTAGCCCTGATTCTACTGAAAGAAGTTATGAAAAAATTTGTCCAAACAAAAGTGATTCATTTTAATTTTGCACAATTCTCTGAACAGGGACAAGAAGAGTTTGCTACAATATAAGAGACAGAGGGAAAAAAGAGGCAAATACAGCATCAACAGAAGAACTGAAATTTGACAGTTGGAACAATTTTGAAATCTGTACTCAATCCCATTTCACAAAAAAAAAAAAAAAAAAAGACAATTAAATTCATAATATACTGACCTGGTAATAGGGCTTGTACCATTGTTTCAGATCCCAATCCCAAAGTATCATCTGTAAAGATTAAAAAAAAGGAGAAAAGAAAAGATTAATAAAAAGGTAATGTGTTAACGGTAATCAATGGTTAAAAGTAATTAATACAAGGTGATGTGTTAATGTTGAAAAACAGCAGCGGCATAAATTTTGATTATGTGATGCAATAGGAAATGTTTCTCCCTTTGTTTTTTCATATGTAATTTGGGCCATATTCTCAGTTAATGCTACCCATCAAAAGCCCTAAGGAAGAGTTTAAAGAAACTATGCAACAGAGACATCATGATGACAGAATAATATGGCCTTATTTAAATATTTTTGGATTGCTTATAAATCATTCAACACACACATCAAATTCTATGGTGACACTGCTTTCCTGCTCCCATTCACTTCAGCGTACAAAAGCAAATCTAGCCTAAAACCTTAAAAATATTTTTTTCTTTCAGAATCATTGAAACAGAATCAATTCTTGTAAATGCAGTGAAGAAAGCATTACATTAAATCACACACTTTTAAAGGGGGCAAAAATCTCTCCAAATAAAGGTTAAAAACTGGTATTTTAAAAAATATTTTCTTGCAGGAGGTTTTGTTGGGCTTTGCTTGAACATGGCTACAAAGCCCCATGTTCTGAATAACCTCACTAAACCCACCAAACCCACAAAAGAACGTCAGCAACACAATCTGAAGATGCTATCAGCTTCAAGTACGTCAACAGCACTCACTTAATTTGTCTTTTATACTGACAAAAAATGAAAACAACATACAAGAAATGAAATTCAGATGTCTGTTCTGTTTCAAAAGCTTTCAGTCTTCATAACTTCTCGACAGATTCTAATTATTCTCTGATAAATTAATCCATTTGCAAAATGTGTATTCACAAATTAAACATAGCTTTTCACTCTTTTACATCGCTACAGAGCACAAACAACATGCCAATACCCCACTTGGTAATTAGTATTTTGCAATCCTGGAAGATCTTTTGCTTATTTTTATAGGTAAGAACTAGGCATGTTTTTGTTCCTCTGGAACTAACAGCACTTCCATGGAGAAAACACAATGTTCCAGTCTGGTGCTTGTCCAGAGGAAGGCGCAGAAAGTGTCAAAAAAGAAACACAGGTGGGGACGCATCAGCAGTGCCCAGGCAAGGGAGGCACTTAAAGGCTCTTTTCCTCTTCAGCTGTCTTCACAGAGATGCCACTAAACTGTGTTTTAAGTTAATAGTTATGACATCTGCTTGCTCGGAAAACTTAAGACATCTACCATGAAGCATGTGTTGAACTGGGAGTAAGTTGTGCTCTATCAGAAAATCATACTGGGTAATACTGGGTAAAGCAAGTAGACCAAAATCAAGAGTTAAAAATTTAAGTATTAAGTTTGGGGGACTTTTTAAGTGAGTAATCTAGCTACCATGTATTTTTGTTTGTTTTTTTTTTTCCCAACTGTCACTGACAAACAGTAAGATAATGACCAACATTCTGTGGCCATACCCATTTTGCCATGATACTTTTGTTTTTAGCAACATCTCATCAGACTGTGTTGCTTCTTTTAATTTGTTTGTTTGTTTGTTTCAGTGGTTTTAATAAATTTTCTTCATTGCGAAGCGTCTCTTTCTATAGAGATTGACGTTTTCTTACTGTATTGAACATCAGTAAATCTTTTGGTTTCATTCTGTCCCCGCACACAGAGACTGCATTAATCTGCTTCATTAACTTTTGCCTCAATCAGCAGCAGAGATCAGCTGTCCACATGGGTTTTGTTAGTTGTATTAGTAACCTTTGATACTAATGGGCCACAGAGTTGCGTCAGCTCGCTCGTAATCGTGCAGCCTCCATTAGGGGACACAAAAGAGGTTTTCCTCTCAGCGTATTTTATTTTTCTTTTGAATATGTGGTATGTTAGCTAGTTTTATTTATTTGCTACAAATGAGCTCACAATAATAATTAAAAAAACAACAAAATACCAAACCAATAAACATCTTGCTTACTCCAGAAAATTTCTGAACCAAATAATTTACTGCAACTCCTTTATTCATCCTTTAAGCAACCTGTACTCCTACACATGTTCAAATAAGCTAGAATTTTGGGGGTCAATCTTTGTGACTAAAAAGGTTCAAAACCTTCCTTTTGGTTTTAGCCCTGCCCTAGTAAATAAATAGGTTCTAGCTATCCATGCTCACCCAGTAAACACAAAGCAGAAAAATCTTCCAATCTACTTTCAATGCAAATAATTGTTTGATATTTTAAATGGTTAATTGTTTGATATTTTAAATGGGGCATCATTTTATGTAGAGTTTTATTTAAAGGAAAAATTTCACAACTTGGATTCATCACTGAAAATTTTCTATTGTCATTTAAACCAGAAGATTTAAGCTTCTCCACTGCTACCAATTTGAGAGCAATGAAACTAAAACAGTTTTGAAATGAATAGAACTTCAGTTTACATGTAGTTTGCTATCAGATTTTTCTTTAATTCCTTATATATTACCATGCATTAGAAGCCTATCTCCTGAGAGAAGACGAGGCAGTACATTAACACAGCCAGCGGCTTGCTGTGGCACATGTGACAAAATGTGACATGGTCTGTCACATTTTCAGGGGTCATTTAATGTGCCTCACATTGAAGTAATTAAAATAAACTGATGAGAAGTTTAGGTACAAAGTAGCAATCTCTGCTGCCAAGCACGACATAAAAAAAATGCAGATCTCTCTAAACAATGAGTATTTTTCCACGGTAAATCCGACTGGGTACATCTCTGCCCTAAGCAAATCCTCGCGGGTTAGGAGGGAAAGGGGGGTTACCTTTCCTAAGGTGCTTAGAACGCACCACAAGATGGCACTCAAAATCCAGAAAGCCTCCCCCACAAAAACAATTTCTGGAGAAAGTAGCAGAAAGCAGCAGGATATTCCTTAATGCACCTTCTGCAGAACTGCCAGGGTTTGAAAGACAAGGAGAGTGACGATTTTAGAGGTTAACAGCTGATAAATTCTATTTCTCTGTTTAAAGAAAAATTTTCTCCTTTGCACTAAGAAAATTTTATTCTTTCTCTCACTACCTACCAGACTTAGTTTAAGTAGCCTAACTCCTTGCATTGCAAGTAAAATCTGGAATACTAAACAAGCAGCATTTCTGGCATTATTTTTTCTTGAGAGCTTAGCAGTCGAAATTTTATTTCATTACCGTGCATCAACAAAAGTTACAAAGCATTCCCAGAGTCACGCTAATCTTACAACAGGAGTGAAAAGACACCGCTTATTTTGACCTACTGTGAACAGACCAAGAGACCTTAAAATAGGTCTTAGGCAGAGCCTCAGCAATTTCTGATTTTGCAACCACAAGACTTGTTGCAGAAAGATCTGTACTCTGTAATACTAAGATTTTGTAATCCATTGCACATAACGTTCTTCCCTCACCTCCTCCATCAAGAAACACCTTATCTAGGATGGACTTGAGTCATAAAAGTTCCAAGCTGCAACTTAGACCTCTGCTTAGTAACTCACACACTTTGTCTTGGAGCGCCCATGGTCAGTGGCAACATCACAGCAATCACAAGTATCAGAGCTCCTCTGAAAATCCAAATTCAGTGGGCTCTGATATTGCAGATGGACTTCTAAAAGGTGTCAAATCTACAGCCATTCCCACCAGAAATGTGTACAGGACATTAGCAGTCAGATTGGAGAAGTTCTCATATCGGAGACTCCAAGCCCAGAGTCTTCCCAGTTCATCCAGAGAGCCATGAACACTCTTTCCTGGTTTTGTATAACTGGCTGACAAGCTGATCAGGGGTTTGAAGGACAGCTTCAATAGAAAATAGCTTCAAACAGAAAAAAAAACTAACCAAAACAAAAGCCCACACATACACCATGCCTTGTTCGGTAACAGTCAGGGTCTGTATTACTTTTAACTATAATAATTGAATCTATTTGGTCTCTGAAATAAATTTCAATGTGGTTAAGAGAAGACAAGCCAGCTTACAGAACCCCTTTAAGTACAAGTGACTTTTCCCTATTTGGCCATCATCAGCCAGCATAGGTCAAACTGAAACTTGTCACTCAAAACAGCCTAAGAGTCCCAAGAGAATGAATTTGCATCTCTGAAAATAAGTTTTTAAAGGCTAAAAAAGTTGTTAAACCTCAACAAGTTCTCCCCAAAGTTGCTGTTCTGAACAATGAACACTGTATTCAGTACTATGGGTGTTCAGTCAGACCTCAGGAGATTTTAAATACCTGTCACTTAGTGGATATATGCAGTAAAAAAAATTTTAAAAAATGACAGGAGGCATCAGGCCTATGTTTTCTCAAACAATAAAAATAATATTTCCATCTACTTCAGAGGAGATCCCATGCTAGTTGAACACAAGGATATCAACCTAACCATCACCAAAGCCTAAGGACAGCACTTTGGCAAAGCACATGTCATTAGCAACATCAGAAGCATGTTGAAAAATTAACGAGGTAATGGTAACAGAGGCCTTCCCTAAACCAGCTTCGAGCTCCAACAGCAGCAGCAAGGCAACGCTTTTTTTCACAAAATAAAAGGCACTGAGAAGTTTATAGTCTAAGCAAACTAAAAACAGATGAGAAATGGGAGAAGACAATCTAGGCAAACCAGCAGGGCTTCAGGGGGTTTGTTTGGTTTTTAATTCCTGTTCCATAGGAAAGGTTATCTTTCCTGTGGCAGTGCACCCAGCGGTTCCAGGGCCAGGAATAGATGTGTCTTTCAGAAGAGTTGATGCCATGGAGGGTGGAGGCTTTTTCAATCTTCTTTATACAAATACCACAACTCCATTTCTCTAAAGACCTGTTTGAGAAGAATTTTCAACTTTCAAAGGCTTAAGCATGATAAAAGATTATGGATTTTACTTTTGTCAAGCTATAAACCACTGAAATTACTATAAAAGTACACTAATCTTTTTAAAACCTTTTTAAAAAATTAATCTTAAAATATATTTGACTAGACAACAGTGCAATGATATTTTCTGAATAACTTAACTTATAAAATACAAAATCATATCAGCTTAGTTA